TAACACTGTCAAAGAGTGTTAAAGACTTTAAAAAAATGGAAAGGCATACAATGTACATGGATTGGTAAATAATATGGTTAGAATGATCATATTTCCTAAAATTCAACTAACATAAGAACAAATGCTGTATGACTCTGTCTACATGAAGTATCTAAATTCATGAAGACAAAGTAGAGTAGTAGCAGGAGCCAGAGAAAGGGAGAAACGCTGTTCAATGAGCACAGAGTTTCAGATTTCTAAGATGAAAAAGCTGTAAAAATATTGGTAACAATAATATAAAAAAATGTTACACACTTGGAGCAGGATATATGCTTAGAAAAGACCCGAGAAGATCACAGCTTTCACCACTGGCTGATCCGAAAGTTCAGCGAGGGCAGCAAGAGAGACAGGTAGACTGGTTAACGGTAGCACGGCAAAGCATGGGAGGGTTCCAACAGAGAAACTGCAAAATCCTGTGCAACAGGTAAAGCTGCTGTCTGCAGTGCCAGAATCCCATGTGGGCACTGGTTTAGGTCACTAAGCTTCTGATACAGCTCCCTGCTAAAACTAATGAGAAAGCAGTAGAAGATGGCTCAAGTTCTTGGGTTCTTACACCCACATGGGTGACTCAAATGAAGTTCCTGGCTCTTAGCTGTGGCCTGGCTCAGTCCCAGCTGGTGCGGCCTTTTTGGGAGTGAAACAGCAGATTTCACTCCTTGTTTTACTTCTGCCCTTCAGATAAACAAATAAGCCTTTAAAAAAAATCTGTTAAGAAAATGGTAAATTAACAACATTGCAGGGCATAAGACCAACATGTACAAATTCGTTACGTCTTCACAAACTGGTAGTGAATAATTCAAAAGTGAAATTAAGAAAGTAACTGCACTTAAAATAGTATGAAATACAACAAAATACTTACTAAGACTCCATGGAATCTCAAGGAACCCTGAACACCTAAAGAAACAATCTTCAGAACAAATTCAGAGGTACCAAATTCCTGCTTTCAAATACAAACATACAGTAATCATACTGGCATAGAGAGAGAGACATACAGATAGAATGGAATAGAAATCCTAAATATAGATCATCACATACATACGGTCAAACAATTTTGACAGAGGAAAAAGAGAGCCTTTTAGAAACAGTCTAGGAAAAAGTGGAAAAATAACATTCAAAAAGATAAAGGTGGTGCTTCTATCACATCACATATAAAAATTAATCTAAAATGGTTCAAAGATTTAATGTAAAAGGTAAAATTATAACAAAATTCCTAGAGAAAGCCTAGATATAACACCAAAAGTACAGACAACAAAAACTAGATATAAGCAGCACAAACTTCTATACATATCTAGAGATATGAGGAACAGAGTGATTATGAAAGATGCAACCTAGAGGATGGGGAGAAAAGGTAAGCACCTGTAAGTCATAAGTCAGCCTGAGGCTAATCCACAGAACACATCTAAAATTCCTACAACCGAACTGAGAAACAAAAACAAAACGAGAAACAACCAGCCAAATTGACAAGTTAAATGACTTGAAAACACTTTTCTAGAGGATGTATGCAAACATTTCACATATCTGATCATTACAGAAATTTAAGTCAAAACCCTGATGAGATAGCTCCTCAAAGCTACTAGAATCAGGCTAAGTGTTGGCTGGAGCCAGACAAAACTGGAACTCTTGCACACTACTAACAGGACTATGAACTTGTGCAGCTACAACGGAACAACTTGGTGGTTTCTTACCAAGTTTAACACAGAATTAACATATGACCTATTCAACATCTTTGTTACTAGCTATTCCAACAGAATATGAATATCCTACATCAGCTCTAGTCACAATAGTCAAAAAGTGAAAAAAACTAAAAACCAATCAATGGTTGAATAAAATGTAGAGTAAAAAGTGGAATGGAATGTTACATTAGCCATAAGAAACCAATTAAGTGGGCCTGGGGTAATGGCTTGATTGATTAGTCTTCCATCCCCAAGCACCAAGATCCTATATATGGGCACCGGTTCATGCCCCAGCTGCTCCATTTCCCATCCAGCTCCCGTTTGTGGCCTAGCAAAGCAGTAGAGGATGGCACAAAACCTTAGGAACCCACACCAGTGTGGGAGACCCAGAAGAAGCTCCTGAATTCAGTTTAGTTTAGCGCCAGATGATACAGCCACTGGGGAGTGAACCAGTAGATGGAAGATCTTTTTCTCTGTCTCTCCTCCCTGTAAACTTGATCTGCCTTTCCAATGAAGCTAAATACTTTTAAAAAGCAACAAAGTACTGCTAAATGCTATAGCATGAGTGACCCTAGACAACAATTTGCTAAAGTAAAAGAAGCCTCCTGTAAAAGACATATGTTTGACTGCATGTAAGCTTGAAATAACCAGAATAGGCATATCCACAGAGAAGAGGCTACTGAAAAAGGAGAATAGGGGGTCACCACTCAATAGATATGGGGTTTCCACATGGAGGGATCGAAACTTTTTGGAATTAGCTAGTGGAGTGAGAATGGAGGCAAAACACTAAGTATATTCAATGCTATCGAACTGTTTAATTTAAAATGGTTTTAACTGTTCAGCTGACAGTCTACCTATCTGATCTCTACCTCTCATATCCGTGTCATCCTTAATGCTTCATTTTTAAAAACCCTATTTTATAAAAATGTAACCATTATCATTTATACCTCTTGACCAGCAATCTCAGATTGTTGATCATACATACCATCGGCTGACAAAGTATTTCTGAGGGGCCTGGCGGCGTGGCCTAGCAGCTAAGGTCCTCACCTTGAACGCACCCGGGATCCCATATGGGCACCGGTTCTAATCCCAGCAGCTCCACTTTCCATCCAGCTCCCTGCTTGTGGCCCGGGAAAGCAGTCGAGGACGACCCAAAGCCTTGGGACTCTGCACCCGTGTATGGGAGACCTGGAAGAAGTTCCTGGATCCTGGCTTCGGATCAGCATAGCATCGGCCGTTGCACTCACTTGGGGAGTGAATCATTGGATGGAAGATCTTTCTCACTGTCTCTCCTCCTCTCTGTATATTTGACTTTCCAATAAAAAAATAAATCTTAAAAAAAAAAAAAAAGTATTTTTGAGGACAAGTGGCCAAACCAGATAGTTCTTTGTAAGTTTTATCTCTACTATCCTCTTGTATTATAAAACATACACAAAAATATAAAGTTTATGGACTGAATATTTTCCTTTTACTTTTTGTGATGGTATACTTTCAATTTACTTTATATTCACAAGCTTAAGCCTCTACTAAATAAAGAATTCAACAAGGAGGTTAGCCAGCTACCGGTGTGGGAGCCTAGAGGCTAGAGACCTCACTTTGCACACGCCGGGATCCCATATGGGTGCCAGTTCATATCCTAGCTGCTCCACATCCCTTCCATCTCCCTGCCTGTGGCTGGGGAAAGCAGTGGAGGACAGCCCAAGGCCTTGGGACCACAACTGCGCCTGTGTGGGAGACCTGGAAAAAGCGCCTGGCTTTGGATTGGCTTAGCTCCAGCCTTTGCAGCCACTTGTGGAAAGAAGCAGAGAATGGAGGATCTTTTACTCTGTATCTTCTTCTCTCTGTATATCTGCCTTTCCAATAAAAACAAATAAATCTTAAGAAAAAAGAGTAGTTAAGGAGAAAGGCCACTATTCCTCAGGAGTATAGACAAGAGCTTTAAAAACAATGCAATCTCAAGATGTCAAGTTCACTCACTGCCTTGACACATTTTTGAACTCTATGTATTAGTTATCATAAACACTAACTCTAATATTTTTTCTTTCCATACTTAAGGGAACCATTTTGCAAGCATCATTTGTTGGACAGCACTTCTTCAGCTATAATGCTCAAAGAGTCTGTATTTGCTGACTCCTTGAGATCTGCCTCTAACTCCCTAGTCTAGAAACTTACAGACTTTGTTACAGAATCTACTGTAAGGGACTGGGCACAGTGGCATAGTAGGCTAAGACTCTGCCTGCAGCACCAACATTCCACATGGGTGCTGATTTATGTCCTGGCTGCTCCACATCCAATGAGGTACCCTGCTAAAGGTCTGGAAAAGCAGCAGATGGCTCAAAGCCTTGGAATCCTGCACCCATGTGGGAGATCTGAAAGAAGCTCCTGGCTCCAGCTTGGAATTGGCCCAGCTCCAGCCACTGTGGCCATTTGGGGAATGAACCAGTAGATGGAAGATCTCTTTCTGCAATTCTGCCTTTCAAGTAAACAAATCAATCAAAAAAATAAAATAAGATTGTAAGGATGTTATAAAGGGCACTGTTACATCACAGCGCCACTTTTATGAAAACAGATGAGAGAAATTTCTCTTAGATCTTTGTACCACAAATATCTGTAATGCCTTTGAAAATCTGAATTGTTTTATAGTTAATGTAATTGAATATAAAATCCTACTCATATCAAATACTAAAAACCACACAGTCAAATTTGTAGCTTAATTCTAGCATATACCCAGGAAGTATACAAGGATGTATCTCCCCCTGGCTCTAGCTTATCTTTCATCATTCATCTTCCTCATTTATTACTTTACAGTGTTATGGGTCACCCCAGCTTCAATTTTTCTATCATTCCAGTTCTTCATTTACTTAAAAAGAATACACTGTATTACTTCTCTGTGTGTGTATGGGTTGCGTGTTTAAAGATAACTCAAATATTTCTTGAAAGACAGGGAGAAATGAGTTGAAAAGCACCCAGAAACCAAACAACATTGTGCAGAAGAGAGGCCACTCTCAACTTGAACCCCCCGTAGGCCAGGAGTTTACTTTGCCGATTCTGGAGCATCTAGCAGCAAAACCCTTCATGCAAAGGGTAATTAGCAAATGAGTGATGATGGAAAAAAATGACAACTCACAATAGCACCGTACTACACTTTCTCACTCTTTTCAAGTTGGTATGAAATAATATAGTGAGGAAAGGGCAAGTGGCTTTTTTTTTTCACCTGTGCTCAAAGATTAACTAAAAAGTCCATGAAAAAGGCAGTCACATTGCCAGATGGAATTTGTAGCCATGTACCTGGATGCGCTTCCTTCTCGTGTGCTCAGAAGTCATTTGCGGATGACCAAAATTCAACGTCTTCTTGTTGTGCTTACACCGCTTCTCAAGGTATCTTCTCTGCTGGTTGGTGATGCTGCTGTATAATTTAATTCTCCTGGGTGACAGACACACTCTTTCATGGCCAAAAGCCTGGATCAAACGGGCCGTGTCAATGGTGGAAATAGAGCTACTCCTTTCACGCAAAGTTACCTCTCTATCTGTTTGGGTCAGTATGTCCGAATCGACAGAAGCGGTGGTAGAAAGAATGTTGGTGGTAGTATCTGTGAGCAGCTCACTTTCTTCTGAGGGTCTGGACTCCGAAGAAGTGTTGGTGATGTAATTCAAACCTGCCTGTTTTCTCAGAATGTACTTGTCAAATTTAATCTGTTCAATTTTAATCTGATTGGGTCTCCCGGCATGATGAGAAAGCACCTTGCTTTTTTTAAGATCTACGTTTTTATGTCTAAGATCTCCTTGGCTTTTATACCGCTTCTTCTTCTGAAGTTTGCTTTTCTGCTGCTGCTGTTTACCACTCCATCCCCTAAGATCCGGCTCCCCTCTGCTACCACCTAGCGTGCTTTCAGAGGCCTGCAGAGAATGTGTGATGGGATTCTGAAGAAGTTTAGTCAAACGGTCCAGTCGCTCCACCAGAGACAGCTCTTTCTTTTCAGCGAACTCAGGCAGTTTCGGTTGCCTTTGTTGCTCCTGATACTTGTTCCAGAGTTCATTCAGATTTGTGGTGCACTGAGTGGTTACCTCTTGGGTGGCCTTATGGTCCCTTTTGGGGTCTGTAATTAGTCTGCTGCTTTTTAGACAATCTCTAGCCTGACTTTTAGTAGTATGTATCATTTCTTTGTTTCCCAAATTCAAATTGATGCTGAGGCTCTTTAAAATTGTCGTATAATCAGTCGTAGTCTTGTCCACACTTTGAAATGGAGGCGGCATCGTGTGTTCTCTATGTTTTTCTGAATGATGCTGGAAGAAATCTTTCCGAGAGTGCTGCACAAAAACACTCCTTCCTACAGACTCATGACAGAAGTCTTGGTCATTTGGCAGGTGCACTGGATGATGAAAGTAAAACTTGGCCGACCTGAAGACAGAATGGGTAGTATTTTCAAATTCCGACTGACCTGCAGATTCTAAGAAAGAAAAACAAAAAAGGATTTTGAAAGAACTGTTTTGAGAAACTGTGCTGAGTTTTATAAATGCAAAATAAAGCACAAGTTTACGAAAAGTTTCAGAAAATTCTCTGCCCGTATAAGAAATCTGTGCATTATAATGAGCAGCCAGACTGGAATGGTGTTTTGAGACTCTTAATCCAAATACCAAGATTCTGGGCTGGATCCTGCCAATGACCAGCAGTGTAACCACAAGGAGGCATTCTACACTTCCAGGACTGCAAGACGGGCTGCTCACATGTATTCACCCTAGTCATTGTAATCCTGAGACCCTGAACCCGCATGAGAGACCTGGAAGGAGCTCCTGGCTTCAGAAATGCTCAGCTCTGGCCACTGAGGCCACCTGGGGAGTGAACCAGTGACTAGAAGATCTTTCTCTCTGTCTCTCCTTCTCTTCGTAAATCTGCTTTTCCAAGAAAAATAAATTAATCTTAAAAAATGTTTTGTTCATTTCATTAATGACACAGTCAGTAAAATTATATACACACACATATATAAATTGTAAACTGTATTAAGGGTGGACAAAATGAGGTGACAAAAAGCAATTTTCTTTACATTCCAAAATTATCATATTTGAAATATTGTTTCAAATTTATGATTACAACTGAATCTTTTTTTTAAAGATGGGAAATGAGGGCCCAGCATGGTGGCCTAGCAGCCAAAGTCCTCACCTTGTACATGTTAGGATCCCATATGGGCACCAGTTCTAATCCCAGCCGCCCTACTTTCCATCAAGCTTCCTGCTTGTGGCCTGGGAAAGCAGTTGAGGACAGCCCAAAGCCTTGGGACCCTGCACCTGTGTGGGAGACTCAGAAGAGACTCTGGGCTCCTGGCTTTGGATTGGCTCAGCTCCAGCTGTTGCGGCCACTTGGGGAGTGAACCATTGGATTGAAGATTTTCTGTCTCTCATCCTCTAAATATATCTGACTTTGCAAGAAAAACAAATACATCTTTAAAAAAACTTTTTAAAATTACAAGAAAAAAGATCTGGATAGCACTGATGTAATTTTTTTCCCCTGAACATTATTGGTTCACAATTAGTAGAATCCACATATGGGCACCAAGAACTAACTTACTCATTTCTTTGTTTTGTTCATTGCTAATATTTTTTTCCAAGAAATATTAGTTGTTTTACAAATCAAAATCTCCACAAGGGACCAGGTAGAACTGAAGTTGATTTGCATAGTAAAGAAAAGGAAAAAGGAGAGGAATGGGTCTTCATTTAAATTTTGAATTCTTCATTGTTCTTAGGAGAACAAGAGAGGAACGGAGACAGTGAGCATCCCTACACAGTGACATGCACCTGCGGCTCTATTACCTGTAACGTCTATCTTTACTGACTTGTTTTCCAGCCAGGCTTCCTTAGGAACTGTCCCTTTAACGGGGACCTCTTCTTTCTGCTCGGTGACTTTGGGGTTTAGTGGGCTGTCCAGCTTCACGTCTTGTACTTTAGCTGAGTGCTCTGGAACAGGAGTACCAGCAGAACCTAAGAGAGGCAGAGAAATGCAACAGACAGGAAGTTGATAAAATATTTGAAAATTCTCCTGGGCAAACTCATTACTAGTGGTGTTAAAAAAAAATTAATCAGAAATAGGTTTAGAAAATGATCTAAAGTACAGTAAAAAAACATAAATAGAAGGCATAAAGAATCGCAATGAAACAGATAAAGAACTTTAAGTATTCAAAAGGAAGGAAGCATAATTTCAGCTAGAAATATCACAGAAGCAATCTGGATAATTGGTTTTGAGTGCAGAAGATAACAAATGCATAGGAATATGGTCTAAAGTGAAAACAGAAAGGCATCCTAAGTAAAGCTGAAGACAGAAGTAAAAAACGGAGTCAAGAAGAGTAAGTGAAAACCTAAGAAACAGGGCAAGTGCGTTTTATTTGGTAATAGACCTTGTAATAAAACAGGCGAAAAACAGCATTCAAAAAGTTGCCTGGCAGTCTATAATATTCTGGAATTCTATGCTACAAGACTTATTTTGTTTTTTTTATGCTTAAGGACAGTGAAAACTAAGGCTTTTCCCCCCCTAACGATATGACTAACATAGTCAAAGCTGTTCCTGAAACATTCATTTTTCAACTGTAAAAAAAATTCAACTGTAGTAAATTTTTAACATACTGCCCAGAATGCAATCTAACTTCTCAAAAAAAAAATAGGCAACACAGTAAAAAGGATTAAGTGGGTAATTATGCTCTAAAGCATGCTTTTAGCTCACAAATGTGGCAGAAATACAAGCTGTCTTTTAAGATCCATTTTCCTCTTTATCTAAAATTGAATATTAACTTTCACTAGACATATGGGTACCAGGATAGACACTGTATTCTTAATGTGAATACATCTGACCCATAAGATGGATGCATGGGGAACAGTATATGTAACTTCAAAAGAGTACTCTCCTGTACCTAATGCCTAAGTCCTCGCCTTGCATGCACCCAGGATACCATATGGGCGCTGGTTCGATTTCCAGCTGCTCTACTTCCCATCCAGCTCCATCCTTGTGGTCTGGAAAAGCTGTTGAGGACAGCCCAAAGTCTTGGGACCCTGCACTTGCATTGGAGACCCTGAGGAAGTTCCTGGCTCCTGGCTTCAGATCGGCTCAGCTCCAGCCTTTGCGGCCATTTGGGGAGTGAATCAGTGGACAGATCTTTCTTCTCTGCTCTGCATGTCTAACTTTCCAATGAAAATAAATAAATCTTAAAAAGAAAAAGAAGGAATATCCATTTTTTCTTGTGTTGGCTGTAATGATAATAATGATAAAGCTATAGCTTGAAAATTAAAGTAAAAAATACTAGGGAGGGACCAGCATTTGGACATGTAGTTAAGACACTTATTAACAATGCCTGGTTCATGTAATGAAAGAAAAAGAATCCTTTACTTTGAGATTAAAAAAATTTTTTTCATTGTCTTTCCATTTGCTACCCAAGAAGCAACTGAGAGAACAACTGATGCTGTTCTGCCTGGATTGTTATGTTTTTATCTGGACAAGTTTAATTTGTGCCAAATTCAAAACATGAGGGGTGAGGTTGTCAGTCTGAAGCTGCACGAAACTTTCTCAACAATGTGTGTGTACACAGTGAAAAATTAAACAAACCCCACATTTTTCTGAAGCTTAGTATAATTCTTTGAGTGGCAGTTATTATCATGAACTTAAATTCTTCCCCCACAGCGTCTCCCCCAAAAGTGAGGTTCCCATGAGGCATTTCTGGAACTTATTGTCCAAGAATGGAAGGAGCCAAGACTGCAGGCACTGACCTCGAGGAGGGGTGAGCCGCTTGCTCGTCATGAATGTACAGGAAGAGGAGACACTTGTCCACAAAACTAACGTCCTCTGGGGGTTGTGTGTACAGGCCAGTCCAGTAAGAAATGTGTGTGGTTTCTGTGACTTGCTGATGACCACGCTGAAGCTCTTGGTGGGGGGAGTGGGGTGGGGTCCTTTCATTTTAAGTTGGGTTTATGGAATTTTCCCGATGTTGAGATGCATACAGTTCTTCCCTACCTCCCTCCCCATGCAGAAAAAGCAACTATGTAGAATTCCCTTAGAAAAGTTTTGTCATGTTCCCCATGAGATTGCATGGGTGTGTGTCCACACCTTGCATGTGTCGTGTGCAGAAGAGGAGGGGGCCTGCTGGTCTCTACCCTGCTGTGCTGTGCCAACCTGCCCCACGCTCCTTCACCATTATACTCTGTGTGTGTCACCGTTGTACTCACAACTCCGTGCATAAAGTGTGTGCTTTATTTGTCCGTGCCTCCGAAAGGAAAAAAAAAAAAACTAAACAAACAACAATGCCTGGTTCAGGGGCCAGAGTTGTGGTGTAGCATGTGAGGCTGCTGCCTCCAATGCTGGCATACTGTATGGGTGTCAGTTCACGTTCTGGCTGTTCCACTTTCGCTCCCTGTTAACGGGATGAAAAAAGCAGTGGGAAATGGCTGAAGCGTTTGGACCCCTGCCTCTTCTGTGGAACACTCAGATGAAGCGCCTAGGTTCCTCATGGCCATCTGAGGAGTGAACAGAAGCGGACAGAAGACTCCTCTCTGACAGAAGACCTCTTTCTTCTTGTTTCTCCCTCTCTGTAGCTCCTTCAAATAAGTGAATAAATCTTAAAGAAGGAAACAAAGAATGTCTGGTTCTAACTCCTAACTCCAGCTTCCGTTTAATGGGGATCCTTGAAGGTGGCAGTGTTGGCTCAAGTCACTGGGTTCCTGTCTCCCACAGCCAGTGAAAGGACCTGGGGAATGACAGATGGGAGCTCTTTCTGTTTCCATTATCTCTCTGCTTCTCAAATAAAAGAATAGATGAGCTTTTCAAAAGACTGTTAGAATAAGGGAGAGTAAGAGCTTTGTTCATTGATGCTGTGTAGTATATCATGTGAATCCTGGAGTTTTGTCAGAAAAAGAAATAATTTTCTCATCTTCTTTAAACCTATGACAGTTTATTTTCATCTCTCAAGAGTCACAACTTGGGCCCGGCACGGTGGCCTAGTGGCTGAGGTCCTCGCCTTGAATGCGCCAGGATCCTATATGGGCGCCAGTTCTAATCCAGGCAGCTCCACTTCCCATCCAGCTCCCTGCTTGTGACCTGGGAAAGAAGTCAAGGATGGCCCAATGCTTTGGGATCTTGCACCCATGTGGGAGACCCGGAAGAAAGTTCCTGGCTTCGGATCAGCGCACTACAGCTGTTGCGCTCACCTGGGGAGTGAATCATCGGGCGGAGGATCTCCCTCTCTGTCTCTCCTCCTCTCTTATATCTGACTTTGTAACGAAAATAAATAAATCTCTAAAAAAAAAAGAGAGTCACAAGTTATCCTAATTTAAATTCGGTATTTTAAATCAGCACTATCCCCACTAGAGTAAAAATTACTGGACAGGTAGGAAGAGAATAATGAGTTAAACCTCTAAAAAACCAAGCTTCTAACAAGGACACTAGAGTCAATATCTTACCATATTGAGGTATTTAATCAGCAACAGTAAAAAGCCCACTCAGTAAATTTCTGCTAATAAGGTTAATTTGTATACCATATATCTCAATGACCTTTAACAATGTCTGTTGTTACTAACATAATGAAAAGTACACTGAGAATAAAGCTAAAAATATTTGAGCTATGGACCCAGCACGGTTGACTGGTGGCTAAAGTCTTCGCCTTGCATGCGACGGGATCCCATATGGGTACTGGTTCTAATCCCTGGTTCTAATCCCAGCAGCCCTGCTTCCCATCCAGCTCCCTGCCTGTGGCCTGGGAAAGCAGTAGAGGATGACCCAAAGCCTCGAGACTCTACACCCGTTTGGGAGATAAGAAGAAGCTCGGGGCTCCTGGCTTTGGACTGGCTCAGCTCCAGCCATTGTGGACACTTAGGAAGTGAACCATCGGATGGAATATCTCCCTTTCTCTCTTCCTTTCTGTATATTGGACTTTTCAATAAAAACAAAAACAAAAATAAAAATAAAAAAATACGTGAAGTAGTTCACAGACAAACAAAACACTGGAGGGCAGAAGATAGAAAAAGACTACATTTTTGTTTCTGTTCTTAAGGAAAATTTTCATTTTAAAATCCAAGGGGGGAATGTTGACAGCGACAGTTCAGTTACCTGCAGCGGCCTTCAGCCTGGGCTCGCTTTCTTCTGGTGGGACAGTCTTTGCCATCGGCTTTTTACTGTAGCCAACCTCTTCCTGCTTTTTGTCTGGGAGGTTCTCATCCTCAGGGATGGACACGAGACCCGGGGAATCTGCACAAAGGACATTGTGTGATGCCATGGAGGAACAGAATATAAACACAACAGGTAAGCACTCATCCACGCACCGAAACACAAACGAAATCCTAAGCTGCTTTATAATTAGAAACAAAGAACTGATTAGGTTCTACTCTGTAAAAGCCAGGACATGAACTGTAAAGCTTTCCATATTTTTCTGTCTACAGCAAGTTTAAATAACATTTTAAATAAAATGCATTCTTTGATGGTTTGATGCAACAGGTAAAAAATTTAGATCAGGTATGCTTTGTATAGTAAAAAAGAAAACTGGAACAATATTTTTAAGCTCTGGTCTACTAAAAATTTCTAGCATTCATGAAGTCAATCTTGGTAATTCTTTTACCTCTCCAAGGAAAGCACTTATATCATCCAGATTTTAAATACAACATCTTCACGTCATTTTTAAAAGTCTCATGACATTATACTCTTTTAATCTTGTTTAGTATGCTCTAGTTCCCTTTTCTCCTGTTCCCTTCCCCAACCTTGGTCTTATTTCATTTCCCATATCTAAGCATGAATATTTATCAGCAAAGCATTTTCAACAAAGAAAATCAGGAGGACCCTGTGCAATGGTTCAGTGGCTAAATCCTCATCTTGCATGCCCATGAACCCATAAGGGCACAAGTTTCTATCTAAGCTGCTCCACTTCCCATCCAGCTCCCTGCTTGTGACCTGATAAGGCACTGGAGAATGGTCAAAAGTCTTGGGACCATGTATCTGTGTGGGAGACCCAGGAGAAGCTCCTGGCTCTTGGCTTCTGATCGGATCAGCACCGGCCACTGTGGCCACTTGGGGAGAGAACCAGCAGAGAAAAGATCTTTCTCCCCTTTTCCCTGTAAGTCTGTCTTTCCAATCAAAATATTTAAAAAAAGAAAATCAGGAAAGGAGCCTGGCACTGTGGCCTAGTGGCTAAAGCCCTCGCCTTGAACATGCTGAGATCCCATGTGGGTGCCGGTTATAATCCTGACTGCCCTGCTTCCCATCCAGCTCCCTGCTTGTGGCCTGGGAAAGCAGTCGAGGACGGTCCAAAGCCTTGGAACCCTGTACTCCTGTGGGAGACCCGGAAGAGCTCCTGGCTCCTGATTGGCTCAGCACCGGCTGTTGCTGTCACTTGTGGAGTGAATCATTGAACAGAAGATATTTCTGTCTCTCCTCTTCTCTCTATATAGCTGACTTTGCAATAAAAATAAATAAATCAAATAGCAGATTATAAGACTCCTCATTCCAAAGAGGCCCCTGCCATACACAAAGGAAAGAATGCTGAAAACGGGCCATGTGGGTTTGATTGAAACTTGGCCTGACTTGCGTGACATTATTTTCTTTTAAAAGCTGAAATAGCAGAAATTCACATCAGAAATACACCACAGTATAACAGCATGGTGTAGAGAAATCTCAATATTTTGGATTTTTCTAAAAAAAAAAAAAAAGGTGTATTCAGGCCCGGTGTGGTTGTCTAGTGGCTAACAGTCCTCGCCTTGCACGTGCCTGGATCCCACATGGGCGTCCGTTCTAATCTCAGCAGCCCTGCTTCCCATCCAGCTCCCTCTTGTGGCCTCAGAAAACAGCTGAGGACAGCACGAAGTCTTGAGACCCTACGCCCACATGTGAAACCTGTAAGCAGCTCCTGGCTCCTGGCTTCGGATCAGCTCAGCTCCAGTCACTGTAGCCACCTGGGGAGTGAATTAGCAGATGGAAGATCTGTCTCTTTTCCTTTCTATATATCTGATTTTCCAGACAAAAATACATCTTTTAAGAAAGATGTATTTATTTTTGTATGAGAGGCAGATTTATGGAGGGAGAAAAAGACACAGAGAGAAATATCTTCCACCCACTGGGTCACTCCGTAGATGGCCTCAACAATGAGCGCTAGCCTAGTCCAAAGCTAGGAGCCCGGAGTTTTTACCAGATCACCCACATAAGTGCAGGGGTCCAAGGATTTGGACCACCTTTTGGAAGTGGAATAGCTGGAACTTGAATTAGTACACACATGGCATGCCAACACTGCAGGCGAAGGCTTACCACACTACACCAAGTCACTGGCTCAGTATTTTAAAATTTTGAAGTATATTTATCAATCACCGTCTTCCTAGTTAAACTGCTTGACAAGTTTCCAACATGACAGCCAGCTCATCTAGGCCAGGTGAGGACAGTGAACGCTTCATCAAAGGATAAAAAACAGAACAGGTTGGACTACTTTCCTGGCCAAGCTTTGCAACATGTTCCTGGGCTTGTGGGTGCACTAAGGTGGACTTGGTCAGCCAACAGACCTTGGAGAGATTTTCTCAACCCTGGTGCAATGAAGATAATGATGTTTCAGAACTATCAAAACCACTCAGGTAATACCCTCGGAACACTCTTCCCCACATCAGGGTCTGTAAGGCATCATCTAATGACTGTCCCCTGTCCCTGGGTCCTGATGTAGTTTGACAGCAAGAAGTGACTCCTACCTTCCTTTGGACACAGAAGAAACAAATAAATTGAAACATTTGTCCTACCCACCTTCCTCCTTGCTTCAACCCTCTCTGCCCTAAATGGAGGCCCACAAGGGCATGCATCCCTCAACTATGTCAATATTAAAAATAAAATGAAAAATTTAAAAAGGTCAATACTCCTACCAGACCTGACAGAGAAAAGTGATATATTCAAAGGCTCCTGATTACAATGCTTTGGATGTCCCAACAAAGTTGGGACCACCTGAACTGATTCCAGCCAGCTAATTCTAAGTATTTCTTCTTGCACCATTGGAAACAAAAAGAGCGAGTGAGCAAGCGAGCGAGCAAGAAAGACAGGAGAAGGGTTTTTCCTTAGGAAGCCAAGTTTAGAAGTAGACCAGCGCAAGTCTGGCGGGGTTCTCAGACAACCAAACCTGACTTTATTTAAAGCACAGCATCCACAGCAAATAAAGAGGGTGAAGTATACAGAATTCTTTGTGAGTAAGGGTTTCTGATGGACATCACCTGTTTCCTGTCAATTTTTTTCATACTCATCAATGCAACTGCTGTTATCATCTAGGTAATGGCAAACAGGTGAGGCATTCCCAGAAGCCTGAGAGCTTTCATTTATGAACTATGAATGGTAGAAATGCTTCTCCTTCTGTTTACTTATCGGTCCCAATGTTAGTTGGCAAATACACAAATTTTCTTTTTTGAAAAGGCATAGAAACAGACTTCAACATGTTTTCTAGTGTAACAAAAAATTATCTAGAACAATGAAAATTTGTGCCTTAGCACTTATTCATCTATCTTACTCACAAAAGTAATGCTATCACCTGAAACCAAAGACACTCTACCAAAAGAACAGCAAAGATTTAAAACTATCCCGAGGTCAGTAGCGTCTATTTGCCTAACAGCAATGCATAGGATTGGTGAAAATAAAAAGTACATTTAACAAATAAATACAGGCAATTACACATGCAGAACTGTCAGTGGTTACTAGGGCTTTCATTGATTAAATATTATCATGTATCAACTAAAGAAGCTTAATGTCAAAGGTGCAGAAGAAAAAAAACTAAGTAAAAATTCCTAAAGATTAAAATATTTTATATTTGGAAATAGATCTATTTTTACCTAAGAATAAGGCTAAAAACTAAACTATCCGCAGTGACCAGATAGATAAGACAGCTGAATGAAGTGGACTGGGCTGGGAAGTAAACCAAGTGGCTGCGCCTCCTGCAGGGGACAGCCAGCTCAGCCAGCTATAAAATGAGGCCATGTCATGGTCACCCCAATTTTTTCAAGAAAATCCTCAAGTCTTCTTTTTAAATACTGACTTCAAAATTTATAAAGTTTTCTAACACCCATATATTTCCTTGCAGAATTCAGGCTATGACAAGTTAGTTTCAGCATGTGACAAAAATCAATTAAGGAAGCAATTTATATCATACTTTCTATGGACTTAGGTTGTTCTAAAACAATACTTGATTAGGTACTACTTCATTTCAAAAGCTATACTACATTTTCTTTCATATGGAAAAAAAAAAGTTAGTAAAAAAAAAAATCTCTAGCACTTTCTTATACACGCCGGAGTAGCAAGGAGGAAAGTCAGAAGAGGAAAGATGAAAGGGAAAGAAAAAGCTGCAAACACAAAGCCTGTCGCTTACCTGCATTATCTTTCTCAACGGGACTTTTCTCCATTGACGAAGTCGACTTAGGCACTGCCCTCTTACTATAGATCCCTTCTTTATGCTTTATGTTGACAGTGTCTGGAAGGGCATCGTCCCTGGTGCCCAGCACCTGCGCGGGGAAATCTGGAGCAATGGCGTCATTGGATCCTACAGTGAAACAAGAAAGCAATACAGCTGGCACACATGTAGACATGAAGTTGATAAAGAGATATTTAAAATTTTTGCCTCTAGGGCTACTCCTACAAAAAAGGCACCAGAATACAAGGGATGTGGGAGATGTTATGACATATGATGAAGACATAAAATATTTAAAAGCATTTAATTAAAAACATTTCTATAGGGACTGGCATAGTAGCACAGCAGCTAAAGTCCTTGCCTTGCATGCACCGGGACCCCATATGGGTACGTGCAAGCCCTGCCTCCATCCAGCTCCCTACATGTGCCCTGGGAAAGCACAAGAGGATGGCCCAAAGCCTTGGAACCCTGCACCTGTGTAGGAGATTCATAAAAGTTCCTGGCTTTAGATCAGCTCAGCATTTGCCATTGAGGCCATTTGGGGAATAAACCAGTAGATGGAAGCTCTTTCTCTCTGTCTCTTCTCTGTAATTCTGACTTTCCAATAAAAATAAATAAATTTTTAAAATACTCATCAACAATTGATCAAACTTGCTTATTCTGATAGTATATTTTTAAAAGCACAGCCTTGAAGGGAGTAGAAATTCTTTCATTTTTAGTTATACCCTTAATTAAGCAAACACTTTTATGGTCCCTTTTTATTTATTATCATTATTATTTTTTAGTTTTACCATACTAAGAAATTACAGGTGTCATCACAGTCTTCAGCAGTTACCATTAAAAACATGTTGGGTCCAGTATCATATGAAATTAATGACAAAAAAACAATCTGGGGCCAGTGGCATAGGGCAGAGGGTGAAACTACTGTTTATCAGTGCCCTGGCTTGAGTTTTGGCAGCTTAGTTTTAAATCCAGCTTCTTATTAATGTAGCCAATGACAATCTGAGGAGAAGAATATCTGCCAGCCACATGGAGACCAAGAAGAAAGCTCCTGGCTCCTGGCTCCCGGCTCCCACCTTCAGGAAGGCTTGGTCCTGACAGCTGTGGCCATATAGGAAGTGAAACAGCAGATACAAACCATCTGTCTCCTTGTCATTTCAAATAAATGAACCTTGCCGAAAAAATTCCTAAAACCAGGGATAACATCCCTTTTCTTTGCAATTCCTATACATGCAAAGATGTTTATAACAAATCATAAAACTGTCCAGTCCAAAGTGATCCAATTCATCTTGTGTCAATGACTTAACTGGCTAATCCTCCCCCTTCAAGCTCCAGCATCCTATATAGGTGCCAGGTTTGTGTCCTGACTGCTCCACTTCTGATCTAGCTCCCTGCTTATGGTCTGGGAAAGCAGCAGAGGATGGCCCAAAGCCTTGGGACGCTGCATCCATATAGAAGACCTGGAAGAAGCTCCTGATTCCTGCCTTCGGATTGGCACAGGTCTGACCTTTGTGGCCCCTTGGGGAGTGAACCCGCCGACAAAAGATCTTTCTCTATATATCTCTTCTCTGGAAATCTGCCTTTCCAATTAAAAAACAATCATACCACAGAGCAGGCATCAAGGTATACTAGGTGAAGACTCCACTTGGGGAGCCAGCAACCATATGGGTGCCAGTTTGAGTCTCAGCTGTTCCACTTTTAATCCTGCTCCCTGCTAATGTGCATCAGAAAGCAGCGAAGGATGGCCTCAGGCTTAGCGCCTAGAATTCACATGGAAGACCCGTAAGCAGCTCTGGGTTCCTGACATCAGACTGGCTCAGTTCCAGCCACTGTAGACATTTAGGGTGTTAACCAGTGACTGAAGATCTCTACCCCTCTCTAAAATATTCCTATTAAGTAGAAATAAATAAATATTTTAAAACAAAAGATATTAAAAAGAGATTTATTTGTTTTTACTGCAAAGCCAAATATACAGAGAGGAGGAGAGACACAGAGGAAGATCTTTCATCCAATGATTCACTCCCCAAGTGACCACAGCGGCTGGAGCTGAGCCAATCCGAAGCCAGGAGCCAGGAACTTCCTCCAGGTCTCCTGCTTGGGTTCAGGGTCCCAAGGCTTTGGGCTGTCCTCCACTGCTTTGTCGGGCTGCAAACAGGAAGCTGGATGGGAAGCAGGGCTGCCAGGATCAGAACTGGTGGCCATATGGGATTCCAGCACATTCTAGGTGAGGACTTTAGCCACTACGCTACCATGCCAGACCTAATAATCTTTTTTAAAAAAGTGATGAAAAAATTGGGCCTGGTGTGGTGGCGCAGTGGTTAAGGTCCTCGCCTTGCTCGCCCGGGATCCCATATGGGCGCCGGTTCTAATCCCAGCGGCAGCCCCACTTTCCATCCAGCTCCTTGCCCGTGGCCCGGGAAAGCAGTCGAGGACAGCCCAAAGCTTTGGGACCCTGCACCCGCGTGGGAGACCCAGAAGAGGCTCCTGGCTTAGGATCAACACAGCATCAGCCGTTGCGCTCACTTGGGGAGTGAATCATCGGATGGAAGGTCTTCCTCTCTGTCTCTCCTCTCTGTATATCTGCCTTTCCAATGAAAATAAAATAAATCTTTAAAAAAAAAATGGGATGAAAAAATCATACCACACCAGTTCCATTCCTTTATGTCGATACGACCATCGGAAGTACTTAAAATTCTCATGTGATACGCTATTCATTCTCTAAGCCAATACTTTTCCCACAGTGAATTCACAAAGATGCTATGGATATTTTAAAATTTGAAGGAAATGTACTAGCCAAAGGAGTTCAAAGTTTCAACATCAGATTGTACTATGTTCCTTTCAATGCTGCCACGTCTTTGCAAAGCAAAACTTCTGGCAGTTGTTACAATAAAAAGAAACGATGGATATCTCACCATTATCAGTGCCCAAAAAATCAAAACAAAAAAGAAAAAGCAAACAGTGTTTATCTAAAAGCACCGATGAACTTCAAGTTCCCATTCCAGAATCAACTAATCAACACACAAAGAAATTATGAAAATGTCTGGTTCTGAATTTCACAATGTCTAGTTCTAATTTCAACAGGATACCTGAATGCGAGCTCTCAATGGTGGTGTCTGATTTGGCATCTGGAAGTGAAGGAGTCTGTCCCAGTTGTGGAACATAGAACATCTTCGAACCACCAGCTGGCTTATATGGCAACAGCACAGGCTGGACTACGGAGGCAAGTATCAGAACAATTAAGAAAATATTTATTAATCCATCAGACACATACTGAAAATCTTCCATATGCCACTCAGTGATCAAGAGTTTTGAGTCACACATACAAAAAATTAATGAACAAGACAGAAACATCTTTGCTTTCAAAAGGAACCAGAATTGTTGAGGAGGGAGATTAATAGTAAATCATTACTGTACTAACAGAAAATGCTGAGACTAGAAAAACAAGAGACTGGGTCAGGATGAAGTTTAATTAAAACATCAGGAATATATTTCATTGAGAAGATTTTTATTGAACCAACTGCAAATCTGCTTTCCAAAATGTCTGTGTCAGCACCAGTGCTGTGACATAATGGGTAACACTGCTATTTGGGACAACAGTATCCTAAATAGGCATTGGTTCGTACCCTGACTGCCCTTCTTCCAATCTCGCTCCCTGCTAACGGCCGGGGCAAAGTAGTGGAAGATGACCCCAGTATCTGGGTCCCATGTGGGGGAGACCCAGATGGAGTTTCTGGTTCTTGGTTCTAGCCTGGTCCAGCTCTCGCTGTTGCAGCTGTTGGGGAGTGACCCAATGGATCTCCCTAAATCTGCCTTTCAAACGAACAAATGAATCTTTAAGAGAAATAATTTTAAAAAATTATTTGCTAATAAAATACATGGAATCTCATTGTTCAAATATGCATTTTATGATTATTAAAGTTTTTTTTCTAGTCACCTGTTGAAATTTAAGACTGAATCTAGCCCCACTTTGAGAAAATAAGTATTCTTTTCATCCTAATTTTGTTATTCTTCCAGATAAACTTGAAGATAAACTGAACAAGTTCAAAACAATTTCATTCAGAATTAGAACTTAAATTTTTAAAAAATATATTTATTGGAGACATGGAGTGGGGAAGTAGAAGGATACAGAGGGAGGCCTCGCAAGTGCTAGTCCACTCCCCAAACGCCCAAATGACTGAGGCTAGGCCTGGTCAAAGCCAGCAGCCTGCGATGCAATCTCAGTCTTCTATGTGGGCGGCACAGCCCTGGTACCTGAGCCATCACTCCTACTTCCCAGGTGTGCATCAGTAGGAAACTGGAATCGAGAAAAATCAAGACTTGAACCCAGGTATTCCAATATGGGCTGCAGACCTTGGTGATGGTGCAAGAACTGCGTTCCTAATACTGAAATGGAAGACCTGCATTGCACCTGCAGCCTCTAGCTCCACCCCGGCCCTGGCTCCGGCACAGCCCCAGACATCGCGGGCATTCAGGGAGTGAACTAGTGACGGGAGCTCGATCTCTCCTCTTCTGTCTCCCCCAAACTCAGTTCCTTACAAAACAAACAAAATCGTACGATAATTGACTAGAGAGAAAAGAATCACAAATTGGTAACACAGTTATACATAAACACTGGCATAAGCATCTCAAACAGTCGCACTTTCTCACCATCTGTGCCACGAGCAGGAGTGATGTGCTGGACCGAAGACGATGACGCAAACCTGACCGGAGGCTTGCTTTGCTTTTGAGTCTTGGGCTCTGGAACTTCATGCCTATCATCTTTCGCATTAATAAAAATCTCAGAGGAAAACGTGGCCTTTCCCGGACTCACTGTGGTTATCTGTGTGACAGCATCAGACGACATTTTTCCAGAAGAAACAGACAATGGGATCTTACTCTGCTCTGAAAAACTGAACAAAAAAAATAAAACATGGCAGGTGACACCCTTGGCTTATCGACAATCAAAATCTCTTTCTAAAAAGTTTCAAGGAACGTTTAAGCAACTACAAGGACTATATTGTGGACATATCAAACTCACATTTTATAAAAATAACCCTGGAATCCTTAATTTTGCTACATGTATTCACTTTTAAAAACTTTTACTTCAATTTAGAATTCCTTTATTTAGCTCCTGAAGTGATACATTTCAGGTGCAATGCATCAGAGGTTCCCATTTCATTGGGGAACAAGAAGTTCTCAGGGTTGTGGTTACATGTGCAGATCAACAGAACTCCCATTAAAGCCAAGTGAAGTAAAGGGGTGACTGGATAAATCATTAGGGAGCAGAGAGAAATTTCACTCGAGAATTCCAAGAGGTCCCGCGAACCCTCTCGCCAAGGAGGCTGCAGCTCCTCCTCCATGGAGTGGAGGCCGAAGCGAGTGGGTGAATTTCAGACTAAAGTAAAAAATGGACAAGCGGCAACTTCACAGCGAGAACACAAGGACACCGCCTCACCCCAGGGATGACATGGACATAAAATACTCCTTGCATTGTTTCAGAAAACCTGAAACTCCAGTCAGAAAATATCAGTCAAACCCAACCTGCAAGACTATGTATGACGCTGTAAGCTACGGAATACAGGATTGTAACAGACTGCAGGAAGATGAGACATGACAATTGTCTCTGTTTGGCTGTTGTAACAAAACTGACTTGGTGGCTTAGTAACAACAGAAATTGGACCCGGTGCACTAGCCTAGTGGCTAAATCCTTGTGTTGCATGCGTTGGGATCCCATAGGGGCGCCGGTTCATGTCCTGGCTATTCCACTTCCTATCCACAACAGCCCCCTGTTTGTGGCCTGGGAAAGCAGTAGAGGCTGGACCCTGTAACCATATGGGAGACCTGGAAGACATTCCTGGCTCCTGGCTTAAGATTGGCTCAGCTCTGGCAGTTGCAGCTACTTGGAGAATGAACCAGCAGACAGAAAATTTTTATCTCTCCTTCTCTCTGTAAATCTGACTTTCCGATGAAAAATAAATCTTTAAAAAATTAATTGGGGGGGGGTCAGCACAGTGGCATAGTAAGCTAATCCTCCCCCTGTGGCCCTGGTACCCCATATGGACACCGGGTTGAGCCCCAGCTGTTCCACTTCCAATCTTGCTCCCTGTTAATGGCCTAGGAAAGCAGATGAGGATGGCCTGAAGCCATCATCACCTGTGCAAGAAATCCAGCAGAAGCTCCTGGCACCTGGCTCTGGATCGGCTCAGCTCTGGCTATTGTGGCAACTTGGGGAGTGAACCAGCGGACAGAAGATCTTTCTCTCCTTTTCTCCTTCTCTCTGTAAATTTGACTTTCAATAAAAATAAACCTTTAAAAAAACCAAATAAATTAAAAAACATCACTGGTCTTATTCATAAGGGATCTATCACAAGACTTCCCAAGTGTCCTACTTTAAAATATCTTAGTTAAAAAAATTAATAAAAGAAAATAAGTCAATGTCAACATAAGGAGGGACACAGATATTCTGATCATACAGCATCACTCCCACATTCAAGTCTTTCTTGCATGCAAAATACATTAATTCCTCCTCTATAAGTCCAGGAGCCTTAACTCATTCCAGTAGCAACTTTAAAGTTTCATTTCACTCCAGGGTGTCCATCTAAATCAGATTATGGGCAGAATTCTGGGTACAAGCCATCCTAAGACACCCTAAGACAAAATGCCTTCCAAGCTATAAATCTTGTGAAAATAGAAATGTTACATGTTTCTAAACCACAATGGCAGGACAGACACTCCCATTCTAAAGGGAGAAGCAGGAAAGCAGAAAGACTCCAATGGTTCCAAGCAAGTCCAGAAGCTTCAAACACAAGAATCATCTTCTGTGACCGGAGGCTATGCCTTGCAGGCCCCGGAGGGCAGAGGTTCTGCCTTCTGGATCCATGGTGGATGTGGTCTCACCCCCCATGGCTGAGTGGTTGTGCTCCTACGGTGCTTCTCTGTGGCAGAATTACTTTCCGAGTGGGTATGTGCCAGGGTCACACATTTGCAGCTCTCCTAGAGTGAAATTACACACACGGGGCTTCATTAGTCTGAGCCTTGTCACAGCTCTGCTGAGTGCTGCCCTGTGGGGCTTCTCCTAGGCGACTCTGTCATCCCTGAGGACTTCCTGCCTGGCTTCTGCGGTTCTCTGAGGTATCTGTGCCTCCACACCATGGTGGAGTGCAGGACACGCGGTACTGGAGCCCCAGAGCCACACTTTAGGCACTGAGGGGTACAGTGACAGCATGAGGGTAACAGAGCCTAGAGGCCTACAGGCAGCGCTGAGCGGTAAGCACTGAGGGCCCACAGGTGTCCGTGGTCCCTCTTTTGAAATCATTCGCCCCCATGGCTGTGTCATGACTGTGGCAATCCGATGATCTCCAAGATGCCTGTGATAGGAATGGCAGACTCCTTAAGCTCCAAAAGGCCTTTGGGATCATGCTTCAATTGTCTTGATCAATGGCACCTGGCTGATCCATCCCAATCGTCTCATCAAATTCCTGGCCACACCTCTGTTGGACAATGGGCTCTCCCCAAACATACTTGCCCAGTTTTTACAATCTAGATGGGCTGAGAACCTTTCAAATATTTTTTTGCTCCCTTAAAGTTTCGTCTCCTCTCTTCTCGCATTTTACTATCAGCATTTAAGACAAGTGACATGACAGACACTTTACTTACAAACTTCTTCAGTTAAATATACTATTTCATCACATTTTCTAGCTTCTGCAAAACACCAGGCTATGAATACAGTGCAGCCTCGTACTTGCACACTTTGACACAACGTGTTTTCTGTACAATAACAGCTTCTCCATTTCTGTAGGAGACGACCTCGAAATGTCCTTTACATTTCTGCCAACATTCTATTCATCATAACTTGGATAAACTCTATGAAGATGGAGGCTTTTCGAAAGTTTTGTCCTCTCCTTCTGCGTCCGAGTCCACCAGTTTTCCTGAACAGTTTCTTCAACAGTAATATAGGCCTTTTCTAAGATGCATCTGAAAATTCTTTCTGCTTCTACCCATTTCCCAGTTCCACATTTTTAGGTGTTTGTTCCAGCAATAAACTCACTCCTTGGTACCAGTTTTGCCTTAGTGACTTTGGGCTGCTGTATCAAAACATGAAGGACTAACTGAATAACTCAGAGTTCTATTTCTCACAGCTCTGGCGCACGGTAAGTCGGAGCCCCAAGGTGCTGGCAGCTTGGACTGCCTGCCTTCTGGTTCACGGATGAGGCCTTCCCGACATGTCACCATGTGGCTGACGTGCCTAGCTACCTCTGAGCACTCCCATAGTTTTGTCCTCACAACCTAATCATCTCCTTAATCATCTCCCTTTTAAATACTGTCACATAAAGAATTAGTTAACATGCGGGTTTGGGGAGGTTGCAGATATTCAGACCACAGCCAAAACTAACCAAATGGCATGTAATATAGTAGTCTGAGTCCCAGCATAGGAACAGGGCCATAATAGAAAAACTGGCAAAATTCAAATATTGAAAATTACTAACAGTATTAATTAAATGTTGGTTTCCTCATTTTGACAAAATATACTATAGTAATGTAAAATGTTAACATTACTTAAGAATAGAAGTTTGAGAAAGTTATAAGGAAATTTATTATGCTTCTTTGTTTTCTAAGGCTAAAAGCATTCCAAAATTTTAAACTATTCAAAATTTTTAAATAAAGTTATAAAAAAAAGAAAACAGGTGTTTGCAACTGCCTTCATACACCATCACTTCCTGCAGCTCACACAGTTGCAGCCAAAGGAGAAAGGGAATAAGTAAGAAGTCTCTACAAAGCAAATGGTCAGTCTACCCAGGATGGGTAGGGAAGTTCACAGTTGCTCGCAGGTGTGCGCCCTCTGCTGGAGGTGTACAGAAGCTACCTCATCATTATAGACCGGGTACTGCAGTCAGTATCAGAAGTGCACAGACCTTTTGATTAGCAAACTTCTCTTCCAGAATCTGATAGTAGATATTACTCAGAACTTCTAAACAGACCTGGGTGGAGTGCACCCACTGGTGCTTTGAAGGAGGCAAGTAAGCTATCTGGCTGGCCTTTTAAAAAAAATCTACCTGTGTATCACCTATGCTAAATGTATAACATTTCTGCCAAAAGACATCCAGGGAGCGAATCACATCTATGAGAATTGTGTTTAAGCATCTGCTACAATGGGAGGCAGTTCATTCTCATAGTAACAGGGGCAGCCATTGCCCCAGGAGGATATCCATGTCCTGGGCTGGAAAACCTGGCTTTGATGCCTAGCTCCAGCTCCCTTCCTATAAATGCACTGATGCCTAAAGTGGGTCCTGCCACCCACGTGGGAGATCTGGATTGAGTTTCCAGCTGCCAGTCTTGGCCCTGGCTCAGCCCAGGCTATTCTGAGCAGCTACAGAGTAAATAAATAGAGGGGAATTTTTTTTCTCTCTTCCCCTCTCCCTCCCCCCTTCACTATCTCTTCCTCCCCCTTTCTTTTTCTACATCTCAAATAAGTAAAAATTCTAGAAATAAATTTCCCTTCTTCATATTATTAATAGTGTTGAATATCCAGACATTTTCCCCCATGGGATCAAAAGGTACCTAAGTATATATGACTACAAGTGGAGAAATGGGATTGAGAAACCAGGTATTTGTATATATGTTTCTGACATAAATTAAAGACCATAAAACATTAATGTAAGTCAAATGTCTTAGCAAACAAATTTCAGCAGTTCAAATTTGTAACCATTATAAATAAACTGATTTTTTTCCCCGGGAAATGCCAGTACTTGGATTTTTAAAAAACAAGTTAATTTCTTACTGATGGAAACTAAATGTAGTATTTTTATCATACAACTTATTTAATCTATTCATTATCCTTTTTTTTAGAAGAAAAAAATTACTTATTTAAAAGGCAGAATGACATACATGGGAAAGACAGAGGTCTTCCCAT